CACTTTTTGGAGAAAATTTAAAACTAGTCATAATTTTAAATTTAAAACTAGTTTTATCTTTTTAAATTATTCTAGTAATATTGATAAAATAAGGCCAAATTATAATTATGATTTTCTAATTATTCTCGATGATGATGATATTTTCCTAATTATATGTTTCCCTAATTATTTTTCATTGTTTACTATTGTTCATAGGTATTAGTTGTCATGTTAAAAACATTATTATGAAAATCAAATGGGATACATCCAAAGTTAAGAGGGAAGAGAGTACAACATTTAAACTCATACGTAGTATATTATAATGTATTGATTTGTTAAAAATCTCATTAGAAAAAATTTAGTGGGATGAAAAACTTAACGCGTCGTAAAAAGAGTGCAGTGTCATATAATAATCTCCCTAAATTTAATTATCATATACTTTGAAGATGACACATTCTAATATTGTGTTCAATACATTCAAATTTCTTTAGGGACAAGGATTTTGTGAAGAAATGTTTGATATTAATTAACTACTATTACTTCTTTCTCAAGATCATGTGTTAAGAAAAAATTGTTAATTCGTTATATCTTCTTTAATGTAATCTCCTATAATCTGAAGTACACATGTGTTATCTTTCTAACACATTCATGTTAATATAGTCATCGTGTTATCTTTCTAAAATCACAGTAGTACCACATTTAGGAGACGTTTACTTCGCTGCTGAAGTCACAGTTAGGTTAGTAAGACATGTGAAATAAACACGCAAGTTACTTAAAACGTTGCTTACTAATCGAAAGAGGTGCTTAAAGTGCCGCTTACTAAGCATACCACCACCCCATGTATTAATTAAGCGGCACTTTAAGCTTTTTCAGTTTCCGAATTTACCCTCACCTTTACCCCTTGCCCTTACCCTATTGCTACCCCACCACCCCGCCCCAACCCTACCTTACCCCGACCCCACCCCACCCTCATCCTCACCACTTACCCTACCTTGACCCAACCCATCCCCTACCCCCACCCTACCCCTACCTCGACCCCACCTCGACCCGACCCCCGACCCCGACCCACACCCTTGACTCGATCATACCCTTTTACTGCTTACCACCTGCCCCTACTTCGACTCCACCCCAATCCCGACCCCTCCCCCACCACCTTACCCAACCCCTACCCTACCACCCCATACCCCCCGACCCTACCCTTCACCATCTGCCCTACCCCACCCCACCCCTTACCCTACCCCTTTACCCCCTACCAGGCTACCACCTTCCCCTACCTTGATCCGACCTCGACCCCACCCCCACCTTCCCTACCCTACCCCCATTTGTACCCCTTACCTCGACCTTACCTTTTTACCCCTACCACCTGCCCCTACCTCGACCCCACCTCGACCCCGACCCCACCCACTCCCATTACCATACCCCGACCCCTACCCCTACCCCTTTACCCCATATCACTTGCCCCCACCTCGACCCAACCCCTACGAGCAGGGTGGGGGTGGTATGGGTGGGAGTAGGGGTGGAGGGTAAGGTCGTGGTAAGGGTAGGGGTAGGGAAGGGGTGGGGTCAAGGGTGTGGAATTGGGGGTAGGGTGAGGGGTGGGGGTATAGGGCGGGGTAGGGGTTAGGGGTGTGGGTAAGCGACTAAGCGTACGAGGTGACCCCACATATTATATTATATACTTGTGTTCATGAATGTTTGTGTGTGTATATATCTATAGGGTTATTTTGGACATTTTAATGTTAAACGGTGTTTTAAATCCTTTGAAGTAAACATGAGCTTACGACACTGCTTATTTTATGCACCACTTATTAACGCGGGTCTTAATAAGCACCGTTTACTACCCCGTGAATAGGCCTGTCAATGGGTCGGGTCTAGACCCGGACCCGACTCGGACCCGGTTGTTTTTAATGGGTACGAGTCTATATTTTATTCCGTTTACCTCGACCTGGATCCGGACCCGTTAGTATTCTAAATAAACGGGTCGGGTATGGTACATATGATTTCGACCTGTTAAGGACCCGGACCCGTTTAGAACTTCTTATTTGTATCCAATGCACTAATACATAAAGTGATTAGTTATAAAAAATTAAATAAAATAGAAACCAATATACATATATATACATAACAATACATAAAGTTATTAGTTGTGATTATTCAATAAAAATATACACATTAATACATAACTACTATATAAATGATACTAATCGAGATAGTAAGATATCCTAAAACTAATGCTTATTTTGGCCGTAAATACATAAATACATACTGATAAAGTGTGTATTGGGTTTGGTAAGCAAGCACAATATTTATTACTATTATTATTAATATTATTATATCATTATCATATATAATACTACATATGATTTTATACTTTTAGTAGTCCAAGAGATCTTTTTATGACTTAATTTCTAGTTTATTCTACGAGCTTTTTGTGCGAGAGAAAGCGACGCAGAGTGTGGAGCTATAATGCTATATGCATGTACAAGAACCGATACTTTATTAGATAAAAGTACTAATTTTCTATAAGAGACCATGATATTTTTTGAAAAGTGAAGATATATTTTTCTTTTAAATTTATACACTTTGCTTTATATTTCACATACATGTCTTGTTATTTTCACAAATTTTATAATGGTGTGCGTATCATACTTGGCGGGCGGGTCTACCCGGCCCGATTCCGAGACCCATTGGGTCTGGGTCTGGGTCTGGGTCCGAATTTTCATACCCGCCGGGTAAACGGGTCGGGTCCGGGTCCATTATTAACTTAGCGGGTCCGGGTCTGGAACACTGCGTTCCGACCCGGACCCGACCCATTGACAGGCCTACCCGTGAAGTAAAGGTGTCCTTAATGTTTTAAACTACATTCATTTCGCATGTAATCGATCATAGGTATCAAGTAGACATACTCTGTCTTGGGCAGAGATAGGGAGCGACATAGAAGGCCCCGACCAATTCTAAATTAAAAAAAATCTGTTTAAATAGTAGTATAAAAAAAATATGTTAAAGTTTCTCAAAATAAAAACTGTGTAGCCCCTAGATTTCTTCTAGAGTTTTTTTGTTTAGGTTTCTTCTCAATGGTGATCTTCACCAATCGGGCAGGTTTTAGGTTCTTCATAATGAAAGCGGACTGTTAAACGTATGCCTAGGGTTTGGGGTGACTTCGTTCGTAGTTTTTAAATCGGCTACTTGCACGTAGCTTTGAGAGGACACACACAAAGCGGTCGGCGTTGATTTGGGCTTTGCTTCTCGGGCGAGTGAGCAATGGTTGATCGCTCTTCTCCCTTGTTTAGCCCTTCACCTCTCCCTGTATGCTCGTTGCCGTGCCGCCTCCTAATATAGTCGCCGTGTATCTGCCATTCGTACCCGGCTTTTTCCCTGCTACATCACCCTCCATCCCTCTGTCGCTTGAGAATATGGTAGGATGCTGTTGTAGGGATATTTGGATCTTTTATCAGTTATTTTATTTTATTATGGTATTATATTCGCGTTATGTTTGTTTACACTGTCCTGTTTTTGTTGTTGAAGACTTTAGGTTTATAATAATGATTGGCAATTCAGGTAGTTATTATGTCGTTAAAATGATCTATATGGTCAATGATTTGTTGTATCAAATACGTTTGGTGGTTAGAGATTTGTGTTGCTCTTTTAGGAGTAATCGTTTCTATGTTTAACTGTATGGTTGATAGTGATAGTTGGTTGAGAATAATTATTGTCAGTGTTGATCTCTTTGAATTTGATGTAACCATTTGAACCCTAATGACATTAATATAAGCGGGTTTCCTTTCAAAAAAATAAAAACTTTGTACGCATTTGTGAGACAACATGGAATTTCTTCTGCTATCGATTTTGATTTGAAAAAATTAACCCGCTTAAAAGACTATATCACTAATGATGTTTTAATTTGGACTGTTTTTAATCTCAGACCAGATCAGACTTGGACAATTATAAAATACACATAGACCAGATATCTATCAAACTAGACCAAACTAGCCCAAAAATTTCAGTCCGATTAAAAACATTCTAAGCTTTTATGTGCTACTTGGTCTGGTTCTCAATCACAGCTAAACAATTGCTTTACATAAAAAAATATGTAAAAGTTTTCCAAAAAACTTTGTACCATATATATGAATCTTCCTGTCGGGCGAGATTGACATAAATCATTGTCAGTCCGCCTTCATTTCAGGTGCTTTTCGGATGCATTTTTTGATAAAATTTTGTAAGCATGTTCTTTATGAAGTGTAGATTATGTTCACCAAATTTCAGCTTAAAAATCAATCAGAAAGTCAATTAAAAAACTATTGAAAAACAATGCACGTTTATATATATATTGACATGGTGTTTTTCAATAATTTATTTAAGTGACTTCCTATTTGAATTTTAAGCTGAAATTTGGTGTAAACATAATCTACACTTCATGAAGATCATGGTCACAAAATTTCATCAAAAAAATTCACCACGAAAGCATCTCAAATCGAAGCGACCTGACTCAAATATATATGTGTGTATACATATGTATATGTAATTATGTATATATGTGCGTGTGTATATATGTATTGGATTAACTGTATAAATAAGCGGTCATTACATCCACAATTTTACTTTTCAACCACTTTATTAATAAATGTGTTATGTCAAAACATAACACATAAAATGAGATAGAGACAATATATGACACATTTTGGAAAGAATAACACCGGAAAGTAGACAAGTCATAAAAATGTGAGAAAGGGGTCATACTGGTCTCTATTTCCTTCTCTCCATTTCTTTTTCACTCTATCTCTCTCCTTAAAAATAATAATTAAACATAATCTTTTTTTCCCTACCCCACCATTTCCCCACCTCTCTCTATCTCTCTCCTAATGGAGCATTCCTAGCAAAATCCGTGAGACAGATATGGGGAGGTAACTCTTAATTGAGATGTGGAGGAGGTATCTCTTATAATATAACTTCTAAACATTTATTGATGCTTCAATTTGTTTTATACTCTTCCAAACAAGTGTTAAAAGGCCAACCTTCTCATAATAATTTCATTAGTAACACTCCTCTATAACCCATTCATAATTAAAAATCGCAAAGGCGCCAAAAATATGGGATAGCAACATAATGAAATCTCCAAACAATTCAAAGAAAAATATTAAGAGTGAGAAATGCCAAGAGGGCGCTTACTGTTGATTTGGTTTACAAAGGGATCTCCAGACATTACTAATTAATTAATTCAATGAGATAGAAGCCACCAGCCCGGAAACTAAAACTCGGGTAAAGCAGCCTCGCTGTCGATAACCCAAGGCCTCTTGTGCTTCAAGAAGACGACTTGACCTTTTGGAGAAGCTCGGGGGAAGCATAGCACCTCCCTTGCGGTTTTGGAAGCCACAGAGGCATCGATATAAGTCGATTCCATGATAACAAGTTTCTCAAGCATGGGAGAGATTGAAAGGATTGCCTTGACAAAAAGTACTTCTAGTCTTAATGCAAGAAATAAATCCATCTTCACCGTTTTAAGCATTCCCAGATCCTGATCAGTAAAGCCACATTCTGGATCTATTGAACTCCTTGCAGCAGCTTCTTTCTGAGCTCGAGTAAGTGACTGCAGCACAAGTTAGTTAAAGATTTTCTTATTAAAACATGGGTATAGCAGGCAAACTTCAAACCATGCAGTTTTGAATATTACAACCTCGTGTGATAGAATTTCCAGTTCACATAGCTTTGGACATTTTTTAATCAGTTGAACAGCAAAATCCAGGTGCTCCTTTGAAGCAAGTGCCAATTTATACAGCTTAATCTTTTCCAGATTTGCTGCAGTTGGGAACTTCTCTCGCACATTTGCTGCTGCTGCAGCCGCAGCATGTGCATGCTTCAAAATAACAAAAGCTAGTTAACCATGAACCCACAAACATAACACAAAAACACAAAATGAAATAATACTTTAGTAAAGAAGATAATGGGATATTCTCACAATATATTCATGGGCACACAAGCTAAGAGCCTTAATCATCTGAAGATGAAGCACGAACCATTTCCACTTAGTCACATCCACACAAGGGTACATACATAACCTCCATGGTCTTTAGTTTCGGAGCATTTATCAGAAAATTATTCCAATCACAAAGAGTGATGAACAGCTTTTCAAGGTTAGGAATAGTATACACAATTCCAGTAGCAACATGCAGAAAAATAATCCCACAAAAATTTACAGATTTGACACCAGGAAATATACTACCCGGTCGAGATTTAACTGAGAAATCAATAAACAAATTATCCAAACTGAGTATCTTAATGGTCGGGCAGGAGACTATACAAACTGGCAGATTATAATCATTACTAAGACGAGGGCAAATGCAGAGGCTAAATTCCTCAACTCCGTTTCTAGATAGAAATAGACACCATCGATCTATATCAGATTGAAGAGGGATTAAACCTTCTTTGATATGTAGCCCGAATTTCTTAACAGGCCCAGAACGGAGAAAGAGAATGTCACTAATAGTATTCGAAACAGTAGCCGAGGGTTTACCCCTCTCTTCTTCAAGGGGTAGCTGGAATTCCCAATCGATGACAAGCCGACCATGATGAAACCAAACATCCTTCCATTGATTTGAGAGCAGAGCTGTTCGGGCAGCGGATCTAGTGTCCAAGAACTCCAAAATTCTGTCCTTTACATCTCCTGGCAATTGACTGATTCTATCTTCCTGTGCAGCTTCGTTGCGCCCAAGACAGCAGGCCATTAGATGATCAGAACGATTGATCGTTGGGGTTAGTCACGGTGACACCCCATACACGGTGCGCAGTAGCCTTATTTCATCCAAATCTTAGGTCCATTCATGCAAATCTTACGTCCGACCAACTGAGCTACCCTTTACCTGTTATTCAGTAGCATGTAGCCACTGAGCTATTAAGAGAAAGGGCCAAAGGGGAGCCAGAAAAAGTTCAAACCTCATGAAACCAGAAAAATATCCGTTTGATAATAGCCACATTACGTGTATTGTTGGAGAGATTTGATTTTGTTCACCTCCATTTAGAATGGAAAAATGATAGAAGTACAAGCATACTTACAAAAAAAACTTACAAACAAAGTGATGTGGTTATTTTAATTACTATTAATGTAAAAATGTTGTAAATGTGATGTGATGTGTTAAATAATGTGATGATGGCACATACCCTTTTTGTAAGACTTTTTGTAAAATTTTTTGTGCCTCTAACCTAACTCTTTAGAGGGTGAGCATCACCCCCAATATTTAAATATTAAAAGTACATCACTATCCCATTATGTGCATGTTCACCCTCTAAATGGGAAATTGATGTACTTTTAATAATTAAATATTGGGGGTGATGCTCACTCTCTAAATGGGAGGTGAACAAAATCAAACTCATTGTTTGATTCTGAAATGGGAAAGTTCCCGAAATAAAACAGTTTCAAAATTCCAAAGTAGGACTGTCATGTTTTTTATTCTCAAAATAGGACTAATTACCGAATTGTTAGGAAAATACTGACATGTTTGAAGTTTGGTACTGCCAAAACATGACAGTAATTAGTCCTATTTTGGGAATAAAAACATGAAAAAATTCCACTTTTGGTCCCATAACTATTATACCACTTCCACATTTAGTCTCTTACTTTCAGAATGTCCACATTTAGTCCGTGACCATTATCCCCTCACCACCCTCGGTCCTTCCGGCAAATTTAGTCCACTTCACAGCCTCAGAATCAGTCTTTTCATTTAACTTTGTATCAGGTTGGGTTTTTCATATCACTCTTCGCATTAAATTTGGTTTTTCATACCTAAAATCTGCATTAAATTTGCTGGAATTTTGGCCGGAAGGACGAGAGGTGGTGAGGGGATAATAGTCACGGACTAAATGTGGATAATCTGAAAGTAAGAGACTAAATGTGGAAGTGGTATAATAGTCATGGGACCAAAAGTGGAATTTTTTCATAAAAACATGGCAGTCCTATTTTTGGAATTTTCAAGTTGTTTTAGTCCTATTTGGGGTACAACCATGCTTGATGTACACACCCTTGTGCACACCATATATTCACAAATGTTTCTGATTTCACTCTGAACTCGTGTAGAATTTGATGCGATCATATCTTGCTCTATTTTGTGCCATTGAAAGCGTTTAATATCTCGTTGTGAACCCGGTTCACAGACAATATTTTGTTTGTGTAAGACATTGTCTGTGAATCGATGTTCACATACAAAAAAAAACTTTCACAGACATGTGTGTGTACAAAAGTGTGTATAAGAGTGTACAAACATCATTTTTGTTTCGGGTAATATCTCTTCTGAAATTTATGAAGTTACGGCTGATTTGACTGTATTGGTTGATTTTGCTGATTTATAAAACAAATAATTTAAAATACATTTTATTAATAAAGTAAAGAAAAAATTATATGAAAATTAGTTAAAATAACTTTCTACATTATCTTCAGTCAATACAGCCAGAAAAGTAACTTCAACCTAATTTTTTCTTATTATTACACAATTTAGTTCGTAAAACAAAAAATTACGTGTTTAATGAAATGTTGGCTTATAAGTCTGAAAAGCCAAAAATGATGGTTACCTGCACTAAATAGGTTAGATGAGAAAAATTTACACTAACGAAACAACTTTATAACTTTGCGGCACTATTCGAGAGATATTGAGATTTGCAATACATTTTCAAAAAAATAATAATAATTTGTGTGTTGTAGGGAGAATGATTCGTAGAGTTTCATTACCGAGAGCCCCTATAAATAGGGATAGAGTAGGGTTTACAAGTACGGGCCAATAGGCCCATAATACATCGTTTACATAGAAAGACCCTAATACATATTCTATCTAAACGATATCACACAACATAGAATTTCCTTCAACACTCCCCCTTGTGCTGAGTTGTAGATAGAATGTTGTATGTGTCTTGTTGCCTCTTCAAAACTCTGTCAAGTAACAAAAACCCTGTGGGAAAAAATAACTTTGACTGGAGAAAAAGGAGTATAGCATCAAGATAGGCTTCTTTCATTAAGTCTATCTTTATTTGATCTTTGCTTTGATCATTAAAGTTTATAAGTATTGTTACCTCATTAAAAACCTTACCAAATAACAAAACCCAGTGGGAAAAAATAAAACTTGGGTAAAGGAAAAGAGTGTAACGTAATCTAGTTGGGGTACTCCCCCTCAAATCTACATCTACCCTTAATATTTACATTAATCAAGGGTGTTTGTAAAATATGTGCATTTCAATACTTGTCACATTAATTACCTTAGCGAAGGCACACAATAGAGGAATATAATTCCTTTAATTCTCCCCCTGTGTGTCGAGCGTAGGGAATTTTCCCAAATTATTAACTTGCGAAGACGTTGCCAATGAACAAAACCAAATGGGAAAAAATAAACATCGGTCAAAAGGAAGTATGGTGCACTAATACCTACAAGTCAATTACTTTTGACTGCGATATAGTAATAATGTTCTTTCTTCAACATTGTTTTACTTTCTCAAAATTAAAATGTGGGATGGTGCATATTATGTTGTCTCATTAAAAAAAACTTACCAAGTAACAAAACCCAATGGGAAAAAATAAACCTTGGTCAAACAGGGAAAAGAAAAAGAGTACAACGCACCAATATAACTGATGTTAAATAAGTATGTAAGGACCTCCCCTGAATGCAACACACCAATAAGAATTCGATGTGTACTTGATATATACTTTTATCAAGGTATTCCGTATATAACATATTGGTTTCTTTCATGGTAAATATATACTCATTTAAGAAAGTATCAATGAGGTAAGGGGATATCCATCATCGGTAAAACTCAAATGACGTTACTTTGTGTCAGAGTGATACTTTTGATATTTCCAATTCCTTTAGAAATATTATCATCATCAATCATTTGATTAATTTGTAAGGGATGAATAAAGATTACACAAATGGTTTCATATAGATATCAAAGTACATCATTGATACTATTTCAATGATGATATACGCTGTATTGGTCATGAGCTATTTTTAGCTAACACGTTCTTGAGAATGTATTATTTGGTCGAATGTGTTTGTCAAAATACAATCACGCGCACATTGCACTTTCATAGGGAATTCCTTCTCCCAATAACTTTCCAATAATGGATATATTTTCTAGCATCCATATTTCGACCAATCATGGGAGTGCTAACAGTTTACATTTATCCATGTTAATTTGCCTGAGAACCCTTTTGGATATATGCAATTGGTGAACTATTATTCAACCAACTCGATGTTTTCAAAACAACCCGAGTTTTCCAAGATCCTTTATCTCAATTATGACTTTCAAGTATCTAAGATTTCTCATTATCTTTAATGAGTATATATCATGTCTATATCTTCGACATATAATGATACTTGGAGGGAAAACATAATCTAGTTTTTCTATCCCTTTTCAATCAAGTGGTCGCTTAGACAGGTATGTCACTCTCGTCTGGATTGATTTCATCCAAATGTGAACGTTTCAATGTAAATATACAATTAAATTTAAAACCACTTGATTAAACATAACAAATACTTTATATACATCTCTTTAATGAAATTGTATTGAGACATTTAATATCCACAATCTTTAGCTGCGTCTCCATTACTTTGGAGTCTACTTATAGATTAAGTAGTTGAACATTTTTGTGGTCAAAATAGAGAGGTATAACTTTTCATATTTGAATCCAAGGCGTTGTTAGAATAATTAGGACCTCATTATCTCAGTACGCTTTCTAACAAAGAAATATTTCATGTCCTACAGGCTTTACACTTGGTTGATTAGCACTATCATACCAAATACCTGTCTCTTTGTCAAATATTAAATTTATACCTGGATTACTTGTACGCATTTAGGCCAATATTCTCATTGCTTTCATATTGCAATAGAGTATGGTTCGATATCATCATGCTCTATGTTCCTTTGAGTAACTGTATAAATATATCGTCAGTATAAGTGTAAGGTCTATCATTCGACTCATACACACTCTCATTAACATAGAGATTTTAATTCTCTGAAATTATTTAAACTTCGGGGCATCCCCCATTATAAATTCATGGACATGTTTAATCAGAGATAATCTCATGAGAGGAATTCATATGATGACGAGTATATTGGTTTGTGCCTTATCTACCCTCTACTACTTGGGGTGGATAATTAATCGAACCATGTGGCTTCCCTCTATTCCTTTAGAGAGCCACGGCCTCAACCACAACCCCACTGCTTGTGATTGTAATGCTTCTTCCTTTAGCATTGTTTCTTTTAATTTAAATTCAAGCCTTATAAATATGTTTGCAGCTAGTGTGTATAATCTGATTACTTAAATCATTTATGATACCACTTTAACTTCAATGTTACATTTTGAATTCTAAGATTTATCATTGAGACAAAGTAATGATGTACCATCATAATGATTTTGTCATTCAATTAGAGAGTTCTTTCTCTAATCTCCCCTAATGACAGGAAAATCAATTGTCTCATCAGAGTAATATCCCGCAAAGCGGTGTACACATTATTTGTTAAGGCTAGTAGCGGATTATTATTGGGGATTCATATCCAACATAAACATCATTTTTCTTTTAAAACCGATTATAGTGCGTTGTGGGAGACGCAATAGGCACAACTATTTAACAACCACATATTCATAAGTAGAACATCTCAGGCTAATATCCAGTCACCAACTGGTATACATAAACGTGGTTGTCTAGTATCGGTTTAAAAAAATGTGTAAGAGTGCTTGCATATTGCATAATCCCATAAAAAAAATATTAGTGTGCGCATAATAGATATAATATTCACCATCAATATTCTTTTAGATGTGATTTTTAATGAGTTCTTTTTTTCACATGGGATGCGAGATGTTTTTCATTGATCTCGAAAAATATGCAATAATCATCAAATACTTTTGATGAGAACTGTCTAGCAGTAACAAGTCATATAGACTTGATTGGTTGGGTGGTGGACCCTTAAATAAATAAGTTTTGCTAGA